CGCCATGCCATTTTAAGATGACTTGGACAGATCCCAACCTACCAAAACAAATGCAAAGAACTGTCCTTCCCTATGACAGTGACATAGTTTTGTTTCCCCAATCCAGTAGCAGCCTCAAGAGGTCATGTTGCCTTGTTTCTCTTAGAAAAAAATAGTTTCGTTAATGCTTTCCTCATCCATCTGCCACCATATGTCTACCGTAACACTGGTAAAATCTGTGTTTGTGTGTCCCACAAAAGACTGAGTCTTCTAGTCGGGAGGGCAGTGTCTTCTTAGTCTTCTACCCTATTATTTTGTTTCAGGCCTATGCTAGGTTTAATGGAAAAATTATTCTGTATGCCAAACCAAACATTTGTTTTGCAAGTATTCCTCAGAATGCAGATGATCCACACGTAAACCCTGCGCCCCCACAAGGCTATGGATCCATCTCCTGGATGTCACCATGGTGACAAGCCATCTCTCAGTCTCACACAGTGCAAGAATTTTATAGCTGTGATTTGGTACCACTGAGCCTGCATTGCGGAGATTAACAGGCATTCAAACACCCAACCACTACTCTGTCGCACTTGATGCTTCCCATTAAAGCACAATGAGTGCCAGTCTACACTTTTCCAGCCTCCTTTCCGTGACTCTGCCCTTAACCTGATGGGAAGACTGTTCATTTCCATTTTCTTTCTCCAGACCATACTCTTATCCAGAATCTCATATTACAGACCCTTCTCCTACCTGACGGAAGAATGCCTGGGGAATTTACCACTGACTCTTCCTCATTCCCTGGCTTCTACTAGTGCTGGATAACTTGATTGTATTTATTTATTTATCTATTTATTTATTCATTCATTTATTTATTTATTTATTGAGTCTGAATCTCACTCTGTCACCTAGACTGGAGTGCAGTGGCATGCTCACAGCCACTGCATCCTTGACCTGCTGGGCTTAGGTGATCCTTCCACTTCAGCCTTCCAAGTAGCTGGAACTACAGGCATGGGCCGCCACTTCTGACTGACTTTTTGACTTATTGTAGAGATGAGATCTTGCCAAATTGCCCAGGCTGATCTCGACCCCCTGGGCTCAGGCAGTCCTCTCACCTCTACCTTCCAAAGTGCTGGGGTTACAGGCATGAGCTACCACGTCCCACTGACGCTGGATCACTTTTTTGACTGAAAATCTAGCTGACAGTTTGTGCCTTACAAGGCCACCTTTTGGAACCCCATTTCTGTTCTTCGCTGTTTTTGAAACCTATTTCTCTTCTACAAATTCTCTCATCAAATGATAGAACACATGATATTTAGCTCCTGTGTCATATTCCTAAGCTCCTAGCCATGCCGTACCTACTCCTACTTGCCCCCCTTCCTACTACATCCAGGTCACATGACTCTCCTTGCTCCCTGCATGGTTTGAGAACATAGACTAGCCATTTCACTGTAAGATTCATATGCCTATTCATTTGAAATTATCCTAGCTCCACCCACCACTCCAAGCCCTCTTCCAGGGTGTCCCCCACAAACATCATTTTCTTGAAAAGTGACTTGTTTTTGTTCTTTCTTAGGCATACCTCTTCCGTTTAATATTTTATCTACAGATCACTAAATATTACATTTATTGCAGCCAAATTCAAAACTTGGTTAAAACAACAGTAGAGGGAAGCAATGTTCTATAGTAGTTGTGAATTCAACTTTGGTTCAAGTTCTGGCTGTGAACTTACTAATACTGTGATATTACATAAGATCCTTGAGTTACAACACCCCACCTCATAAGAGAAGAAAACATTTGCAAAGTGTTTAGCAGGGCCTACCATACAGTGGGGCCTCGTAAGTGCAGTTGCTTGGATTGCTTTTCAAATCTCTGGTGTTTGTATTAAGTGTTAAGTATCCATGCTGAAAACCTCAGTAATAAATGATATGCTATATGATTTTCTGTGTAATGTATTAAGTTTCTCAGAAATAGATTAAAACCTCTAACTCTAACCTTATAACTAGCATAGTCCTACTAGACAAAAAATCAGTTTTGAGGCCCTGGTAAATATTATATCAAAGAATTCACAGAAACCAAAGAGTGGTTATATGGTTTTCCTTATTGAATTGATGGGCACATTTATTTTCTCCTTGTCTCTCTCTCTCTCCCTCTCTCTCTCTCTCTCTCTCTCTCTCTCTCTCTCTCACACACACACACACACACACACACACCCTTCTTGGTGAGAGGTCTTGACATAACCTTTTGTATCAAGAAAATTTTTTATATTAATTATTATATCTTATACTTAAATATGAGTGATAAAGTTTAACTGTAAGAAGCTGGCAGGATGTCATGCCTCAGACAGACTCAGATTTTGAAGTCTTGGCCCTCCAGGCTGAGGGAGAAGTAAGAACTGACTTGGACACAATGGCTGACCCAGAAGTCAGCCAAGACTCCTATTCACTGTTCTCCCTAGAGACACGACACAACCATCACTTTTTCACTCACTAGAAGTGGTCAATACCATGGCAACCAGATGAGTTAGATAAGGATATCAAGCAGGAATTGCAAGAGGTGGACAGAAGTGCTCACGAGCTAGACAGCTAGCTAACTAGCTAGAAGTAATAGGTATATTTTTAGGGCTGGAATTTCTGTGAGCAGATGGATCACACCAGACCAAGACAGACTCCAGCTCTTGGGGAGAAGACCTGGAAATAGCCAACCAGAGTATCTGGGCTGGGTTTGGCATGTGACTTAGTCACAATAGGAAGTGGTGGTTAGACGTACGGAGTACAGATCAGAATAGGGATGGGAAACCAGATCACGTTCCTAACTCTACAGACCAGATCCAGGCAGGGCATAGAGTAAATTTGGGGTGCAGTGACTCATGCATTGACTTGCCAGGGACAAGACCAAAGAGAAAGGGCAGTGATCCAGAGTTCTAGAACTAAACATTTTTTTTTTTTTTGAGTCTCATTCTGCCACCAAGGCTGGATTACAGTGGCATGATCACGGCTCACTGTAGCCTCGACCTTCTGGGCTGAGGCAATCCTTGCATCTCATCCTCCCAAGTAGCTGGGACTACAGGCTCACACCATGATGCCAAGCTAATTTTTTGTTTTGTTTTGGTTTTTGTAGAGATGAGGTCTCGCCTTGTTGCCCAGGCTGGTCTAGAACTCCTGGGCTCAAATAATCTTCTCACCTTGGCCTCCCAAAGTGCTGGGGTTACAGGCATGAGACACCATACCCAGCCCTAAGCACTTTGCTAAAGTGTTTGGAGTATCTACTTTATAATTACTTTTTAAATCGTATGTGTGTGCTTATGTAGTCTTCTGCCTATATTAAATATTTCCCAATAATGAAGGAAAGCTTTGGAGTTTAATATTAGAAGAGAATTATGAAGACTGTTTATTATGCTTATATTGGTACTTCTGTTACTGGACAGGTGTGGTAATAAGAAATCTTGTAATATTCTGATTCTGTTTCTCTGAACTCATTATGGAGGTCTTTCCTGCAGGTTTGCTATCAAAAATTTTTAAAGTATTATGTGAATTATGCAAAATAGTCTAGAATACCAAAGGCTTAAGCTTCTACCTGCTACCAGGACAATAACCTTGAAAATATTTGAAAAAATGTAAAAGAATAAAGTTCTGTGAATTTTCCAATTTAATCTCAATATAATCTAAGCTCTATATCTGTTACAATTTTTTCTCAAAATATTCATTTAAAATTACCTTCATAATTACCAAAGCAGTATACATATAAACCAAAATAAAATAAAACACTATATTCTCATTGCCCAGATTACTTTAACTCTTAACTCATTGGTGTATATTCTTTAGATGTCCTGTATGGATTTTTTTCTACCTAAATAATATTACATAATACATACTTATTTTTAATCTACTTTTTTTTCAGTTAGTGATTTTTTTCAGTTACTAAAGTTTATCTTATCTAGAATTTAGTCAATGTACAAATTAAAAAAAAAATTTTTTTTAATTTCTTTAAGGACCATATCTAGGACCATATGTTGCGTCTGGCTATTTCTTAAGTGTTATTTAATCTAGAACAATCTCTTTTTTGGCAACACTGACTTAAAGAGACAAGACCAGGCATCCTGCAGAAAGCCTCACCTTTCAGCTTTGTCTGGTTTGTTTCTTATAGTGCTGTTCCACATATTGTTCTGTCTTGTGTGTTTCTGATGAAGTGGAAGTTGATTCTAGATGTGATGGGTTCAAGTTCACCACCTTTAGTAAGAATGCCTTATAAATGATGATGTGTATCTTTGCAATGCCTTGCATTGGTTTGAGACAATCTGATCCCCCACGTGTAGTTATTATATTTGCCTTCTTGCCTGGAGGAAGTAATCTGTGTGTTGCTACATTGGCATCATGTGAACATCCAATTCCTCATCAACAATTCTGCTGGTTTTAGCACTAAGCGACAATTCGTAACTAAAATAATTACAGTAAAGATATGAAATTATATTTTCTAAGTCTGTAATTGCTTTTATGTTTGCTAGCTGGCATTTTCTGTGAAGTAGAGATTTCCCTCACATAGTGGGATGGTTAGATTATTCCTTTAACTGCTGGTTTTCAACGTAAGGAACTGTTTAACAGCTGCCTCAGATGAGATGTTGGAAGAATTTAAACGTTTTTAAAAACACTGTGAATATGATTTCCTAAGCATTTCCTATGTATCAACAACTATGTTAAAGGCATTATGTAATCTAATTCTTATGACAACACAGTGAGATTTTAGAGAGAGACAACAGAAACCCTGAGCGGTTAAATAACTCAATACAGTCACTTACTTAAGAAGTGACAGAGCTGAGATTCAAACTTAGATCAGTTGGCGTCCAAGAATCCATGCTTAATTCTTTTTATACATTTTTGTTGCATTTTACTTAAAAACTAAATTCTATTTGTAATGCTGTTTGGAATGTTTCCCAGTTCATAAACACTAAAATGAAAATTATGCTTAATAATTCTTATGAGGTCTCTTTCCCTTTCCTCTTGTTTTTGTTTTTTTAATATTTTTAACAGTGTGAAGAAAACACAAACCTTCAGGATACTACCCGCTACCTCAAACTTCCCTTTTCCAAGGGCATTTTCCTTGGGAATAATAATCAAGCCATGAAGGCCACAAAGGAGTCTTTTTGGATAACATCTTTTCTTTGTTCCACAAAACTCACACAAAATGGTAATGTATAAAACTGTTTTATTAGAAAGCCCTTGTACCTAAATACTCATGTGAATTTTGGTAAGCATATTCAGGAAATACCAACGTTATAATTAAGAGCTTTACACTAGGAAAATTATTGATCTTTTCGTTTGTGATTTCTGATAAAATGAAAGCAAATGTACCCAATGATCTATTGGATACATATAATTTAAGGACTTCAAAACTATCCTCCTATTGTAAACCAAATATACAACTCTTCAAATAAACAATCAAAACCCACCTGCTTAAAAAAAATGACAAAAAATATCACCACCTTAATCTCTTGTTTTATAGCTCCATAAGCAGTGCTAATTGCAGGCTTTAGAATAAAGGCTGTTTTTTGTTTCATTAGATGCATATTGCTTTTCTGTTCTAGCATTACTTTTTATGTCAGTGATTGTTTAGCAAGTTATGATTAATAAAGCAAGCTCTTCTCCTTGGCAAATTACTATGAAAACATCGTCTGTAATGAAGGAAGTAAATTAAACATTTTGAGTTCTTCATGGTTGCCATATAAGGCTTCTGGCTAGCACCCTGAGTGCTGCATTAATGAGTTAGAGTCATTACGTTGAATCACTTCATAATGAGGTATTGTGGCTCATAAAAACCTGTGGTGCCTAAACATGTATGTTACTTGTTCTTTTTTCAGTGTCAGAACAGCATTTGTAGAAGGAAACCTATGTCTTATCTTAGACTGTAGTATCAGAAAAGAAACAATACCGTAGCATTACAATTTTGACCTCTTTTTAACTACCTCTTAATTTCAACATGCAACATGTGACTATATTTATAGGACACCAAGTTATATCAAGTTATACCAAGCTTTATCTGTATTCAGTGGTTAATGATTTTACTTAAAAAAAACCCAAACAAAACAAAAACCTCCATTGATATAACTCAGTAAATGATTATAAAGCATTTACCAAACCTCAGGTCTTTTTATTAGGACCAGTCCGCCCCCTTGGAAGTTATGAAGATAATAAAATCAACCTGTTATTGATGCCCTCAGAAATGTTATTCTTCTTTTTTGGATTAGTTGTATGTCTGTTATAGAGTTTACTTACATTTAGCTGAATGTCCCAATAGAATATTTTGGAGTTGCATTAGTTATCTATTGTTGCCATAACAATTACAGCAAAATTATTGGCTTAAAACAGCACAGATTTGTTATCTTACAGTTCTGAAGGTCAAAAGTCTAAAATTGGTTTCACTGGACTAAAATCCAGGTGTTAACAGGGCTACATTCCTTCTGGAAACTCTGGGGAAAGTCCTTTTTCTGACCTTTTCTAGTTTCTAGAGGCTGCCTGCATTCTTCAGTTCATGGCCCCTTCTTCCGTCTTCAAAGCCAACAGTAAAGCATCTTCATCAGATCTCTCTGACTCTGACTCTTCTCTTTTTTTTTTTTTTTTTTTTTGAATCAGAGTCTCACTCTGTCACCCAAGCTGGAATGCAGTGGCACTCTCATGGCCACTGCAGCCTCGACCTGCAGGACTCAGGTGATCCTTCTGCCTCAGCCTTCCAAGTGACTGAAACTCAGGCGCATACCACCACTTCTGGCTAATTTTTTGATTTATTGTAGAGACTATGTCTCATCATGTGGCACAGACTGGTCTCAAACTTGTGGGCTCATCTTTTCATTTTTTTAATAAAAAGCATAATTACATTGGGCCAGATAATCCCGTATAATTTCCCTGTTTTAAGATCTTCAATTAACTCACTTTTGTAAAGTCTCTTTTGCCAGTTAAGGCAAATACATCCACAGGTTTCAAGTATTAGGACTGAACCTCTTTGGGGGCTATTATGCTGCCTACCACACAGGTAAATCTCACAATAGATTATCTTTCATCAAAATAGTTGTCCCTGCCTGCATCCTGAATTCATTCTAGTTCTAGGGTTTAGGATGTAGACAGAATAAACCCCAAAACCTAAACATAAAACAAAGAGAACCAAATCCTGAAAATTAGAAGTTGCTGCATTTTAAAAACCAAAGATTGTCAGATAAATATGGATAAACTATTCATGTAATCATTATATTAAACATCTTACTATATGGAAGGTGGGATCAAAATGCCATGCAATGCCCAGCTTGTTTTTGGAGGCTGATAAGTGCTTAATTATAATTTTGACTTTGATTAACCTTGTCAATGTAAGGCAGCTCAAATTGAGCCAGGAAATGAAGAGTGTTGCAAGAGGTGGGAGGGAAGAAGGAAGTTCGTTGGTCTTTCAGAAATTTACTTGCTAGACACATGTCCCTGTGCAGAAGTAATCCAGTTCCAAATTGGAATTAAATTGCTATATATTCATTTTACTTGACTCGGAAAATACACAAATCCTATTTCCACCACAACTGAGCATTTGGTAAGTGATTGGTGTCTAGGAACACTTCCCTGGAGCAGATTTGCGTTTCAGAATTCCTGAAGTGTGTCTGTTTGTATTACCTATTACTCTCTCTGTTACTCAACATCATTTGGGATGTCATACCAAGGCCAGAGCACTATGCTAGACCTCGGTGGCTGCCTGATCAAGTAGAGATTTTAAGTTTAGAATTAGAGGGCATGTCATCCTCCTATTTGATAGCTCTTGGTAAGTTGGGCACATAATATATGCTTAATCAATGCTTGTTGAGTAGAATGTAGAAAATTCATATTTTCAGTGGTAGGTCATAGCTCCTAATTTGCAACTAACATATCTTCAAATGACTAAAACAGAGCCCTAGGAAACAGTGGTTTTGCTCTAACTCTCAGTACTTTGCATTCATGATTAATTACATCCAGACGGCCATAACTGCTTGGCTTTCCCACGTGCTCCATTATGAGCAGTCTAGAGATTCATTAGTTTTCTTGCAGGAAAGATGGAAAGTCTCATCCTGATCTGATTGTCTGGACCTCTGGCATCTGTCTTCCAGCCCTGTCCATGAGGGTGCTGAGTTCAGGTTCCCTACTGTTGGCTCTGGTGATGCCACTTTGCAGCCAGCAGAACCAACTTCCTCCCCACACTCCTCACATTGAGCAGGACCCTGAATGCCCCCTGCAACTGCCTTACTTTAAAGGAAGGGAAAGAGAGCAAGGAGAAGTGAGAGCCGGAATGAGGGTGGCGTGGGAAGTGAGGAATGAATGGCAGGGAGAAATGCATGGGGGGTGGGGGGGGAAGATTATGAAAGAGAAGATGCCAGGGCGGGAGGCCTCCTGAAGTGAGATGCAGAAAGTAGGAAGTAGGTGGGAGGGAGGCGACTAACAGGGAGAACAATAGAGCCTTGCCTTTGTCGCCCTAGGTCTCACTCTGTGGAAATTTCTGATATGCCAAATATAACCAATCAGCTTTTAAAAGGTTTCAATCATAACCCTAGGATATCTGAATGACATGTGAATATTAAACATTTTCAGGGTTTTTTGGGTTACGAAAACATCATCTCTTTTTCAAAGTCAGTATTTTAAAAATTCCTTCATTTATCTCATTCTAAATTTCTTCTCCTCTTGCCCCTGTTTGTTATAGATAAACATTCCTATTTAGTACTAAATTTCTTGCTATTATTCAACTTTGTGAAATTTTTCTCTGGAATCTGGCTTTAGTGGAGTCTCTTTCTTTTTGAGAATCTTATGCTTTTTCTCATTTCTGTTCACTATATCCTATTTTCTTTCTCATCTTAACTACTTCCTTGTTTTTTGAGTTTTGAGGGTTTTGTTTCCTTGTTGATCTTTCTGTTGCTCAGCAAGTCCCATTTGAGTTTCTCCTGAAACCAGTGCTTTGAAGTGAGTTTCTTGCTTTTCTGCCTGGAAATGTCATCCTGGCTTCTTTCTCAGCCAGTCTGGTCTGTCAGTCCCACTGAGTCCTGAGGCCTGTACAACCAGGTCCCTCTGCCCTGTGCATGCAGGAGAGCCTTGTTAGTGCTCACTGCCTCTAATGACCTCTAGACACCAAGGCTACCTGCTTGGATTGGAGATTAATGAAGCTTGGACACCATCTTCCAGAGCCTTTCTAACTTCTGCCCTAAAGATCCAGGAAGAATATATTCCCTCCCCAAGTGAAGAGGTTCTCAGAGGACCTGTTGAACTCAGGACTCACATGTGGGTTTAGGAAAGGGAGGAAATTGAAGAGCTGTGCCCTGTGCTTGCCCAGAATCTGGAATTATATCACAGAGTCCAGGAACTGACACTCTTAGGTCCAAGAGCTCCCTGAATGATCTGGCAAATCACTGTGCTTGCCATCATGGTTCAGGGACCTTTTAGTTTGCAAGGTTTGGGTCACATTGTCAAGAAGAGCTCCGTTGCTGGTGGAGTTGGTTGCTTGGCAAAGCAAGTATTATGTTCTTGAGGCCCAAACATGAATAAAGCAGGTTCCCAGCCCTCAAGAAACTCTCATCTTACCAGGAGGAGGCAGGAGATTATTCAACAAATATTTGTCAACTGCTTGCCCTGTTCTTGATGCTGTGAATAAAATAGGGCCACGCTCAGCATGGAGTTTGAAATCAAGTTGGGGCATAGGCAGATATGCAAACTATAATAATAAGGTAAAATGTTACCATGATGTGGGAACACAAAGAAGAGACAGTTAGCTCAGGATTTTAGGAAAGCCTTTCCAGATGAAGCAAGATGTAGCCTGAAAACTAAAGGATGACAGATACTTTATAAGTCAAGAGCAATGGAAGTAGGAAGTAATTAGAATGCACTGTAATAAATGCCATCCTAGACAGGGCTGGTCATAGTCTGTGGGAACCTGCAACTTGAGTGGTCAGGAGCAGTGGACAACGTGTTTAAGAATTTGACTTTTGCCAGTAAAACACTTTCATGTGAGGGACTGTTCTCTATTAAGGCAATTAATCTTCCTTTTCTGTTTGGAAAGGTGATATGCTTGACCTTTTGAAGTGGAGAACCCACCCAGACAAGATCACTGGCTGTCTCTCTAAATTAAAAGAAATTGATGGCTCAGAGATAGTAAAGGTATATACTGCTGTGTTACTTTTCCTCTTGGAAATTCGTAGAATAAAGAACATTTGGAGGGAGAGGACAGATTGTATTTAATTCATCATTTACTGCTTCTTTATCTAACAGTTTCTGCAGGATACACTGGATACTTTATTTGGAATTTTAGATGAAAATTCTCAAAAATATGGGTCTAAAGTGTTTGATTCTTTGGTAAGTTTAAATTCACTTCATTCTATTTCCACAATTTTGTCTCTCAATCTTGATTTTCGCAAGACCATTTCAGAAATAAGTACTTAATAATGTAAGAGTTCATTTTAAAAAGAACCCAAAAATCTGGATTTGCATTCCATTTTATAAAGCTCAATTTTCTTTTTAGGTTCACATAATAAATTTGCTGCAAGATAGCAAATTTCATCATTTTAAGCCTGTAATGGACACTTATATCGAGAGTCATTTTGCTGGGGCACTTGCATACAGGTAAGGCCCTTTATCTTGTAATTGGTTTAGAAGTGTTTCCTTTTGAGATTCTCTCAGCAGAAGAGCTACATAGGAAAGCTGAAGAGGGAGTGTAGGATGAAATGAAACCCAACAACTGAAGTGTCTCTTGAGACAGTCTCGTCCCTCCTCATACATCCTTTTTTAATGGCTAGAACTTATTTTGATTAAAAAGGGGAAAAAAAGAACTTCTCAGATACTATTCTTGAGACCAAAAATATCAAGTCTTTTCCTTCTTGTCTCTCTTTCACTTGAGAGTCTTTGGCCCCAAATGTCTGGTTATTTCACTGTGGCTGTGGAGAGTGCTATTAAATCACTGTACTCCCTGAGGATTATAGTTGTCCATGAGAGAGAAATACAAATAGAAAACAACCTTTGCCTTCATACTTGCTGAAAGTCATTCATTCATTCATTCATCTGTTAAGATGTACTGAGTGCCTACTGTGTGCCGAGCACTATGCTTTGTGCTGATAATGTAAACACTGGTCCCTGGCCTCAAGCAATTTAGTCATTGGGTTCTATCTGTGGATAGCAGCTGCCATTTTAATTGCTCCTCCTTTCCTGCCAGCTCAGATGATGCTAGTAAGGCCAAGAGGGAATGAATAATATCACGCTTTAGTTAGCACCTGCCTAGTAGATAATTGCCAGAAGTCCACAGCTTCTCTCTTTTAGTCCTGAGAATAACATCTTCCCAGTCTTTGACCCTGGAATGTACTCCCTTGTTCTATCTCCTGAGTCCAATGCTGTCTATGCTGTTCTACCTTTCTACCTTACACCTTAAGTACCTATGGGCATGCACATATACCATCTCCCAGAGTTGAGATAAAAGAGCATAGAATCAGGTTTTTACCCCTTTCCCTTCATCTCAGTGATATATAAAGGATAGCAGGTAATAAAATAAGCACTTGACCCTGTTAACTTGGGCATGCCCCACCATGTCATGTAAAGATCTGTGTCTCCAACATTTCAATGAATAAAAGTATTTGTATAAGACTAGACCATCTGTCAACATGAATTTTTGTGGCAGATGAAAGGTAACAGCAGGAATAGTTTTGAAATGTTGGCCCATTCAGTCTAATAATTTGGGCCCTAACATTTCAGGGTGGACAGGATAGCAGTATCATCAGTTCTAAAAAGGCAAGGTAATGCTTGTGAAATCCTCTCAGGCTATGGGTGGTCAAAAACTCACTGATATGTTGTCTTAAAAATCATGCTTCCTGCAGCATGTATCTACTGGCACATCCAAGTTTTCTCTGACTGAAAGAAAAATTGCTGTGTCAACTATGTTTCTTAGAAGCCAAGAAGTGACCAAAGTTTAACGTGGCAAGACTGTGGTTTTGAGAGTTGTGGGTTGTTGTTTTGAATTTTTGTTTTCTCTACAAATTAAAAAAAAAAAAAAACAGCTTGATTTTTTTAGAACTTCTCCTACTGAGGCACATGTTAACAGTAAGCCTTGTTCTCCTCACAGGTCGGAGAACTGGCTTGATAAATCCATAGGTATGACTTGGAGTGAGGAGATGCTTCCTTTATCCCTCCCCACATCCCCTTTTGCCTCAAGTGAAGGATATTTTATCCAGCTATTTACGTGGACACTGGGGAAAAAAAAGAAATCCCAATTAGCAGTCATCCAGGATTGACCGTGACAGTCATACTTCCAGACATCCGCTTGGTCGGAGTCCTTTTCTCCGACATTTATGTTGAACCATTTGGAAGCACTGCCAGAAACAGCAGGGCAAAGGAGTTATGTCCATTGAGTGTTGCTTCTCTCTTACACATCAAAAAAGGGCAGAATGTTGAGCCACAGACTTAGTAACATTATTATATAGTAGTTTGACAGGAAAATATGAGAACTGATGGGAAAAGAAGCCTCATTGTGATACAATGAAGTATTTAGTTTGTTGATTTCATTGAGAATTAGACCGATTCTGCCTTCCGCATGTTTCTCCCTGTATTTTAGAGATCTCATCAAAGTGCTCAAATGGTACGTGGACAGGATCACAGAAGCAGAGCGGCAGGAGCATATCCAGGAGGTGCTGAAGGTGATAACATGCTGTTGATAACAGATAGCACAGTCTAACTAAGCTGCTGCGTGCTGACGCTGAAACTAATTGGTTTCCTCTGCACAGACAGTAGTAATTGGTGATGATATATTACTGACATTCCAATTCAAGGATCTTAATCGGTTTGTAGCTGCTTGAAAGCTGATGAAATGTGAAAGAAACTTTGCCAGACTCATCCACTGGAAGCTGCTTGGGAGTGAATCCTTGCTCCACTGTACTCTAGAACACTTGGAGTGGAGTCTAGGACTAGCAGGAGAGGGAAGGTTTGTGAGAGTAGACTACAGAGGGGCAGTTAAGCTTAGCAGTTCCTGGCTCTTGCTTGCACCAACTTGACCGAGACCATCTGTGAATCATTTGTATTAAATTTTAAGAGCAAATATGGTGGCTTAGCCAGAATCACAGTGAGGAAAGCTAAGGCTTTCCCGGATCTCTTGGTTTTGCACTGTCCATATCTCTGGGCCCTATATGCTCAGTTGTGTGTGGTGGTGATAATACCTGACTTGCAAACATGTTCAAAAAGAACACAAATTCTTTCTGGGGTTTTTTTTTGTTTGTTTTTTTTGTTGTTGTTGTTGTTTTTGAGTTGGCGTCTCCCTCTGTCACCCAGGCTGGAGCTCACGGCCACTGCAACCTCGACCTGCTGGGATCAGGTGATCCATCTGTCTCAGCCTTCCAAGTAGCTGGAACTACAGGCATGCGCCACCATGCCTAGTTAATTTTTTGGTTTATTGTAGAGATGAGGTCTTGCCATGTTGCTCAGGCTGGTGTTGAACTTCTGAGCTCAGGCAGTCCTCTCGCCTCTGCCTCCCAAAGTGCTGGGATTATAGACATGAGCCACTGTGCCCGGCTAAGAACATAAATTCTTAATGGGATTGTCCAGTAACAGCGATGGAAGTCTTCTGATTCCTCCTGTTAAGTACCATCCTATTTGGCATTAGTAGATAAAAAGAGGTCATGTGTACATTTTATTAAACAAACATTTTGTTAATTATACATTTATCACTTTGGTCTGATGGCAGGTAAGATGCTAATTGACAAGAGTACCTACCAAAGCAAAATTATTTTTGAAAAAAGTTACCTCTTTGTTGACTATATTTTTAAAACTTGGAGGATCCAAAATATTTCGTGTTTATAATGTGCCAGAATTATAAAGTGTTTCTTTTTTTTTTTGAGTTGGAGTCTCAGTCTGTCACCCAGACTAGAGTGCAGTGGCACACTCCCAGCCACCACAGCCTCGACCTGTTGGGCTCCGGCGATCCTTCCACCTCAGCCTTCCAAGTAGCCGTAACGACAGGCGCACGCTACCACACCCGGCTAATTTTTGATTTATTGTAGAGATGAGGTCTTGCCAACTTGCCCTGGCGTGTCTGAAACCCACGGGCTCAGGCAATTCACTCACCTCGGCCTCCCTAAATGCTGGGATTACAGGCTGAGCCACCGAGCCCGGCCTATAAAGTGTTTCTATATTTTCTATATGTTGTTCTCATTAGGCATCAGAGAAGAGTGCTCTTCCCTCTACTAAATACTGTTCAAAATCTCATAGGGCCTTAGTGTTTAAATCAATAATTTAAAAGTCTAATGCTGTACCATGGTTTTTATGCTGTCATTGTTATGACAATACCCCTGGTCTCCTTTGAAGCTAACTTTTTATTTATTTTTAAGGCACAAGAGTACATTTTCAAGTATATCGTTCAATCTCGAAGGCTGTTTTCTCTTGCCACTGGTGGACAAAATGAAGAGGAATTTCGCTGCTGCATCCAGGAGCTTCTCATGTCAGTCCGTTTCTTTCTTTCCCAAGAGAGCAAAGGGTCTGGAGCATTATCTCAGTCACAGGTATTTTGTTTGTTTGTTTTTTATTCTATTGTATTTTTTTAAAGACAGGATGTCACTATATAGCCCAGGCTGGAGTGCAGTGACCGTTCACAGGCACTATCTCACTGCTGATCACACAGGAGAGTTGACCCGCTCTGTTTTCTATCTGGACTGGTTCACTCCTTCTTATGCAACCTGGGTGGTCCCTGCTCCCAGGGAGTAATTTTTTTCATCTCTGCTAAATAGAGGAAAAACATGAGTGTAGTGTATTCATAAGTGGATGTTTTCTCCACAGAAATTCATAGCTCAAGTTTTTATTTGTAGCTTAACCAACTTTATGAATAGACTTTTTAAAATCTCCCAGTTTCTGGGTACCAGCCGAGCGGAGGAGGGCTGCCTTTCCTCAGAACCTTCTCTCTCTGCCTGGAGAGGCTATTGGTTTTCATCAGCCTCATTTCTACTTACCAGAACACATACTGATGATTGGACGTGCTGTCACCATTAGCCCTGGGGAAGGAGTTTCACTAGAGCCAGTCTCTAGCAGTTCTTTTTCCCAAGTCTCTCACTGCATTTTAATCTGTCAATTTGAGAACCATTATATTGGACACAGCTAAACTGCATGTTGCTTTGTTTTATTTAACTTGACCCTAATCATCCTGGGACCGATCTTACAAGACTAGTGCTGAATTGCTGCTGCCCAATTCTATTGCCAGAAGTTGCCCTACTTTTTTTTTTTTTTTTTTTTAAGAACTGAATCCATCCACTTTCCAAATAGCATGGCTTTTAACATGCTCCATGAGATAATTTCAAATATCTTTCTTAATTCTTCTTGTATACTTTAAGTTCCAATGACTTGGTTTAAAAACCTATCAGAAAGAGAAGTACCCTCTTACCTTGCCCTGGAGACAAAGACAATAATCATTGAGAACAAGGGCATAAAATGGGAGATTAGAAAGTGAAAGTAGATCCTTAAAGCAGTGTTGTTGAAACTTGTGTCATGTGACATTCGGAAGGCAAAACACCAGAAATGCACCAACCACCTAATAATAATGCTATACTTTTCCTGACTGTTTAAGGTGCTGTTCTTGTTACTCTACTCTTTACAGAGGTAGCTCATCCTCTGTTTGGGCAAGGATACAACTCAAGTTCTTTTAAATGTTATTTTGGCCCTTTCGTCAACAGTACCATCCCTGCACTATAGGAACTTGCCAGAGACTTCAATGTCAAATTCCCACTAGCCAAACCCTACTTAAAGCAGTTCTATTTGAAAAGGGTAATCCATGTTAGTCCTTTAGATCAGCATTCTCAGAAATATACTGTTTCTACAAAAGTGATTCAAAATGTATTTGAGTTTTCATTCTGAGATTTTTATTTTAAACCTTTATCAGTTATGGGAATGAAACTTATCTAATTAACATCTGAAAATTATTTTCTTTCTCTTAAGAGTAGTCATGATTTCTTACTTCTTAGGGGTTCAAGAGATTGTTTTCCCTCCCCCTTAAAGTTAGAGAAATATTTCTTTACCTTTTCCACTGAGTCCTGGCCCCACTACGGTTACTTAGGTCACTGTGGCACAGCAGGATGGAGCAGCCCTGCTGTTCTCTCTTCAGTATACTGACTTCCACTGCTCTTGATTGTATAAGTTCTATCCTACAACCAAGTGTGAGAAACAACTTCAGCACCTTCAAAGAATCATATTTGAATCTTTTGGCCTTGGCTTTTAATCAAGAGGTAATCTATAAAATGTATAAAATACATACATAAAGTTTCTGAATATCTTTATAAACTCTACTGAAGTCATTCTCTATTATTTTGTGCAGTATCCCTCATTTGTAAATGTTGATGTGAGAATTTTATTTTTAGTTTGATGCTGAGAAGAAATTCATATAAATGATGAGGTGGTTCGTTTTCTTTGTTAAGCAATGAGAGCTTTGCCCCCTCTATATTTTGGGGAAAAGGAGACTGCTACACACCTCTTCCCGTACTAGGTTGCCTTTTGATCCAACTCCTCTCTTCAAAGAAACAGTGTCACTAATCTGATGGGCCCAATGATTTAGTTTTCTGTTGCTGCAACAAGTGATCATAAGCTCAATGGCTTTAAACAGCACTCATTTATTAGCACATGGCTCAATAGGTCAAAAGTCCTGGCAGCCTTAGTTGAGTTTTCTGCTTAGGATATCCTAAAGCTAAAATCCAAGTGTTGATGTCTTATCTGGAAGCTCAGGAGAAGTTGCTTTCATGATCTTCTATGGTGTTGGCAGAAATTCATTGCCTTTTTTTTTTTATTATTATAAGACTAAGTTCTCATTTCCTTGATGGTTGTCAGCCAGGTATTACGGGAAACCAGTAGTGAGGGGAGGTGCTTTCCTTCCTTGGCTTGTGGCTGCTCCATCTTCAAAGCCAACAACAGTATGTCAAATCTTGCTCATGCTTTGAATCTGTCGACTCCTGCTGCCAGTCAGAGAAAACTGTTTTAAGGGCTCCTGTGATTTGATGAGGCCCACCTGGATAATCTCCATATTTTAAGATCCACTGACTGGTTAGTAACCTTCATTACATCTGTAAAATTCCATGTGCCCTAATGTAATCACAGGAATACAGAGGTCATGGGAGTCATCTTAGAAGTCTGTCTGCCACATTGGAGCCAAGGGTATCCATTGGTGTGGGTTTTGCTATTAGGCTACCTTTTAGGCAGAAACCCAGTTTCCCTGCTCCATTTCATACTTTTTCCATGCAGGCTACAACTCAAGGTATATCCCATCTCCTGGAGGTAGAGCAGCTATCCCAGCAGTCCTTCAAGGTATATCAGTGGACGGCTGCATCACACATCTGTCCATCCTGGTCCTGCTGGGGAGGTTCATTTGGTCTTCCTGGCCCAAATGGAACTCACTAATGATGCTGTCCTTGGTAGCCCTGCCCTGGGAGAACTAAGGGCTACTCAACCAGTGTAACCTGGTTCTTGATTGTCCATTGCATGGACAGACCCCAACCCCAGGATCCCCAGGAGAAGAAAGGAACCGACTGAAGGAGTAGAGGAACAAGACTCTGATGCAAATTTCTAATAATTACCTTTCCCTGTTTGTCTTGGCTACCCGGAAGGTCAAAACTAAATTGTAATTTTATTTTTATTTGTGGTAAAAACTCTTAGCTTGCCCTGATAGAACCATCTTTATGCCCTCATCACAAAGTCCTTGTTCCTTTATCCTTTTTAATGTGTATGTATATGTGAGATTATATATCAAATATATAAGTATCCGAATGCATGTATGTATACATGCATATACATACATACATTCAGATACTTATTTAAAGTCAAGGTATAAGCAGGTACTTTCAGATACTTATTTGAAGTCAAGAAGTATAAGTAAAGAATGAGTAAGTAAATTAGGAGATACCTGAGGAAAATCAACTTAGTTGATTTTTCAGTAATCAGAAAGCTAGGTTGGTTTTATTTTATTTCATCTGTATGATCGCTCTTTGCAGAATGAAGTGAAGGTTATATAAATATAGTCTTTAACAGAGATATCAGGTGTTTAGTTTTAAATATATCCAAGTAAATCTGTAATTTTTGAGAGTCAAGGGGCATAGCTATTGACCTGCAGCACCTTAAGCATTTGGATGGCTCTGGCATCAAAAATACATCTTGGCTTTTCTAGATATTTTTGCTACTGCTGTATAAATAAATACTAAAGTCCTTGAATTTGAGGTTGATTTCGTGTTTGAATCATCAGCACATGTAGATGCGACCTACTTTCCAATGGAGTCACATCTCACTGGTAAACCAGCTAGTACTTGAATCTTAGCATATTAGAAACACATGCCTCCTTCCTTCACCAGGTACATTTGAGGCTAGTCGACTCTTCCTTCCTTTGCCCTCCTTTTATGGAATTTTAAAAGGCTAAGTTTACTTGTTTGTTTTGATGTACCATCCTAGCCCAATTTTTTTAAGTAGGCCCCTTGGGATTTGATGTTAGCATCTTTTTTCTCCATAAGAAATGATTATCAGGTTTTTAAATTTACATTAAAGAAATATGGTTTTTAGTCTGTACACGCAATTCTTGGTTTAAAATAGATCTTGAAGCAAACCAGGATTTATTCTAATGATCTTTTCATTTTACAAGTGATGAAACTAAAGTCTAAATGATGAAGCTAAAGGATGTTGAAATAACTTTCTAAAGTCACAGAATTGACTAGAAGCAAAGTTAGTAAACATAACCTGGGTCTTCTGATGCCCTGTCCTATGTTTTTGTTTTTAAATCATGAATTGAGCTCCTTAGGGAATTAATATGTTAGAGTCTTTAAAGATAAATGCTATTTAAATGGGCATTCAGAAAGCTTCTTCAAAAAGGAATGAGATATAAATGACTACAATTCAGGTCTTGGTTGAGCATTTTGTCTCTGAGCATGAGGCATTTTGCTGATTCTGTGGTGCTTTTGCCAATCCTTTTGCTAATGTCAGTGATTTTCCAGAATTTCCTAGTTTTTATGATATTGCTCCTTTGTCCTATTCTGCTTCACTCTTTAAACAAATTTTTGCCTTTTTAACTTAAGGTAGCAGGTACATTTTATATTCATTTTCCAACCATTCAAAAATACTCATCCTGGTCCTTAAACTCACTGACATGGGAGTTGATTTAAGTTTCTTCTTCTTTTCAAGGCAGTGTTTCTGAGTTCTTTCCCAGCCGTGTACTCAGAACTGCTGAAGCTCTTTGATGTCCGGGAAGTGGCCAACTTGGTACAGGACACGCTGGGCAGCCTGCCGACCATCCTGCATGTGGATGATTCCCTGCAGGCCATTAAACTGCAGTGCATTGGCAAAACTGTGGAAAGCCAGCTATATACCAACCCAGGTAGGGTGGTGAGTCTTTCAAAGGAAATAGTATCTCTGGAAGGCCATCATTTACATCTTGTAGTCATGGTTAGCAGAAACAATTCAAAACAAAAATACTAAGGATATCTTCTCAGAAGTATTGTTTATTTGGATGGTAAATTTATTTTGTAGTTAAATGCAAAAGTATGAATATTAAAAACTGTATTTCTAGAAAGAAGCCTCAACAAGTAAAAAAACTTATTAAAGTAGATTCCATTCATATTTTCACATGAATATGTACTTGTGTGTATATAATTTTTTGAAAGAGGGTTTCAAATAGAGTAAACAACCTTTTTACATTATTTTATTGTAAAATATTTGAAGCATACAGAGAGAATAGAGCATAATATGGTTAAATCGTTAATAAATTAAACATTTGCTTTAGTTTTTTTATTAAGAAATTCACTGTAGATATACTCAAGGCCTTCCTGTATATTCTCTCACTTGCTTCATAGAAATTTCCATTATCAGAGACTCTGGTTCCTATTTTCTGTTCCTTTATTACATAGTTATAAAAGTATGTGTATATGAGTACATAGTTATAAAGCATGTATGTATGATTTTTTTTATCTTTATCTATGTGTTTGTTTGTTTAAGTCAGAGTCTCATTCTGTTGCCCAGGCTGGAGTGCAGTGGAAAACTCACAGTTTTTCGTGCCCTCTACCTCCCAGGCTCAGGGGATCCTTCCTCCTCAGCCTCCCATGTAGCTAGGACTATAGGCGTGCATCACCATGCCTGGTTAATTTTTTAATTTTTTTGTGGAGACAAGGTCTCCCTATGTTGTCCAGGCTGGTCTCGAACTCCCGGGTTCAAACAAGCCTCTAGCTTCAGCCTCCCAAAGTGCTGGGATTATAGATGTGAGCCACCACTGCACCCTGCCTTTTCATCTTTACATGATAGCATTATGTTGCATGTCATTCTTTAGGGTGCCTTTTTTAAAATTAATACTTTTTTTATTTGTTCATGCCACTAGATATAGCTCTGGTTTATTCTTTTTTAATGTACTATTTCACTGAATTAACTTATCATAGCTAATTTATTTTTTTCCTCTTGAGGAAAAAAGTTTTTTCCTGAAATAAATAATGCTTCAATCAATGTAAAAGAAAGTTTAACTTTCTGATTTCTTTCAGTAAAAACATACCTCATCATGGAGAAAAGATGTTTCTTATCATGGTTTCCAAACTCTGTTGCTTAGAGTCCATATAGGCTCTGTTGCGGAAGCCGGGGACTCCCTCCAGCTAGGGAGCAGGGAATGGCGGGGGTGGAGATCCTGAGACCCCAGTTAAACTCAAGCACCAGCTCTGCTCTCACCACTCTAAGCCAAGTTCAAGCCCGTCCCCGAGGCATTAGTCATTTCTGCCATATTTCTCCCACACTGTCCAGATAATTCTTTGTTAGGTTAAAGTCTTACGCCAAAAGAACAACACAGATGATCAAAATTGTTTTCACCTGTAAGGACATTATTTGATGGGTTTGTGTTCACTGTATGCCCCAGAGAGATGTACTTTGTGGACCCAGTTTCTTGTTGATTCCTGATGCTCTGTAGGTGGAAGAGAAATCAGGATTAGAAATTTAGGAAGAAAAGAAGCTGCTGCGATCCAGGAGCAAGAATGTTGGGACTTGGTGGGAGCAGAGGATCTTTATTGGGGTTAGGAGGAGTACAAGGACTCATGAGACCCAGAAAACGTGACGCTGCAGGGTTTGTGTAGCAGGTCTTGTAATGGGTTTAAACTTCCGCTCAGAGCCTCTGGGTTCTTTGCAGTGACTGGGGACTCCCTCCAGGCTCAGGAGCCCTGGAGGAGCATCTAGAGCCAATGATGGGAAGCTCATGATTGTGATACAGTGGCACAGAGGAGGAAAGGGGGAAACATTTGCTGAGGAGGTTGATCATGAGGGAGCAAAAGCAGCTCGCAGTCAACGGAATACTTAGCACATGCAGGTGTTCCTGAGGAAAGGCTTCTGTCACTGCCCCAGCAGGTGGCTTGGCTTGGTGTTTTCTGACTCATCCTCAAGGAAAACAGAGCCTGCCATATATAAATGGCAGGGCAGAACACATCAGAAAAGAGCCCATTTTCTTGGGGAAAAACAGGAAGTGTCCCTGAGAACTTTCCAAGGTTCAAAGTACCCTCTGTTTAAATCACATGGGACTACACGAGAGTTAGGGAAACCTGAAAAGTGTTTCTAGAAGCTCTTAAGTTCTAAGTCAGAAACTGTGGACTGAAGGGATGGACAGGCATATCTGTGTTGTCTGGTTGAATAGGAGGTTGTGTAAGGAAAATAAGATATGAATGCACATAGCAGGCTCCACAGACAGTGTCAAAGAACAGGATGCGATCTCTTGAGTTGTGGTTAGGAGAGGCCATGCTACATCTTGCAAAAATAGGCAAGATAGATAACTAGAAAAAAAAGAAAAGGCACAATAAAAAAAAATTATCAAGACCAGCCTGGGCAACATAGCAAGACCTTATCTCTACCAAAAATAAAAAAAAAAAGCCAGGTGTAGTGGCATACCTGTAGTCCCAGTGACTCCAGAGACCCCAGTGACTCCAGGTGGAAGGATCGTCTGAGCCCAGGAGGTGAAGGCTGCAGTGAACCACGAGCATGCCACTGCATTACAGCCTGGATGACACAGTGAGGTCCCAACTCTCCAACTCAAAAAAAAAAAAGCTGTGTAACTAAAACTCATCACAAAAGCAGTCCCAGTGGTAGTTCACTCAAAATAACAGGTAAAAGGATTACGTCAAACACTTTTGACTTCTCTTTTTTAAAAAAAGCACATGCAACTCTTACAACAGAGAAAAGTTTTTTTGTTTGTTTTTTCTGTTGTTGTTTTTAGGGAATGTAGGATTGAATATCCCAGTTTTTTTCATATTTCCCCAGAGGAACTGTATCCGAAGGACAAGGAGTGGGTTAAAATTTTATTTTACTGTTAACATAGAGAAATGAATGGCATCAGCAAAATATGGTGAAATAAGACTCATGTTTTGGATATAGTTATAGCATAGTCACTTCCCATTGCTCCTGTGACAGTAACTGCAAATTCGGTGGCTTAAAACAACACAAGCTTCTTATCCTGCAGTTCTGTAAGGCAGAAGTCCAAAATGGGTCCCGATGAACTAAAATAAAGGTGTTACCAGAGCTGTATTCCTTTTCTGAGAGTCTAGGGAACAATTCATTTTCTTTAGAAGCCGCCTGTGTCCCTTGGCTTGCAGCTCCTTCCTCACTCTCCAAAGCCAGCAGCACAGCATCTTCAAATCTGTCCCTGCCTCTGATTATCTTATCAATTCCATTTTTAAGGACTCCTGTGTTTATATCACGCCCACCTGGATCATCCAAAAAAATATCTCCTTCTCAACATCCTGAACTTAATCACATCTGCAGAGTCTCTTTTGCCATAACATGTGTACAGGTTTCGGAAATTAGGACATGGACATCTTTAGGGGACCAATATTTCACCTACCACCTAAGGGTAAAAGAAACAGATTCAAAAGCAGTGTGATGGCCTAACTCCTTATAAGAAGGTGAAAAACACTCTGAAATCTAACATTTTTATTTATTTATTGAAAGTTTTTAAAAATGAGACATAAAAGTGCCATAATTGTGTCATTGTACACATCCTGACCAGATGGAGATTACAAATGACACTTTCTTGATAAAAAACTATTAACCTGAAATAATGGTAAGACAAAAAGTGGGGATCAGGATATCAGGGGGTCTCAGCTGGGTACGTATTCAGCTAAATTCAAAGCACTTAATTCTTGACCTGCCTTAATGACAGTTCCATTTCTCTGAACATAGAGTATGGCAAAGACAGTTGCTATTCTGAGTATATTTCTGACCAGCAAAGAACTGGTTAATAATATAGAAGTAAGAAGAATCTGAGAAAGTGGCCTTATTTTTTTGGAAGGTTTATATTAACCAGAGAAAGGAGTACAGAGGGCAGTTTAGCAATGGCAAAAAAGAGTAGACTTGATACATAGAAGCTGGGGAGGAAGAGGAAGACATAGAGGGGGTGACAGCAGGGAGGTCCTTTATTCTATTAGCCTGGAAGCAAGAGAGGGGGCACAGAGTCTCCTGGACTCTGCAAGGTCTGAGTCTGCTAGAGCTGTGGGCTTCACTTTCGCCTTGCTCTTGTCCCCATTACTTGGCACTCGATGATTTATTTAGCAGAAGTCTGCAGTCATTTTATTGTGAGTTATCTTCTTGCTAAGAAATAGTTATATATGTCCCTACTTCGGGATTGTTGAGCCATTTATCAAGCAAAACCCAGTGCAGATAAAGAGGCGAGTCTAAATGCCTAAATGCCCTGGGCATGTACCACCAAGGAGAAGCACGCTGGTGCAACTTGCTTTCACCTCCAAACTATAAAACCAAGTATTTGGGAGTAGGAATTTCTTAATAAAGTAATAAAATTAATTTATTTTTTCTTTTTCACAAACTCCATATTCTCCACTAACAGTTTTGTGGATTTCATGCAAGGCTAAAGGGAGACAGGGAAAAAGATACACAACTAGACTATTTTTAAAGTATATCCTGAGCTGGGCTCGGTGGCTCAGCCTGCAATCCCGCACTTTGGGAGGCTGAGGTGAGTGGATTGTCTGAGCCCGCGGGTTTGAGACCCACCTGGGCAACTTGGCGAGACCTCA